GCAACATGTGGTATGAATCTCTCTAAAGCTGTTTGTTTCCAAACAGTAGCCATGAAGAGAAACCTTAAACGATCAAAATGATCATTCAGCTTGTCATTATCAGACTTAGTGCTTACCTAGTACTTCAATTTGTTTCTCTCCCTTACACAACACAGCTTTAACTTCAAGATCTTTGTCCCATCCCATGTTCTTATTATCTTTCTCTCAATTAGTTAAAGTGCTTCTTCTTCTTTTTAATGAAAAAATAAATTTATTCTCCTAGCATATTCAGAGTCTGTTTTGGTGATTTTAATGTTAGTGACACAAGTTTGTTTTAAGAGATCGTTTATGATTTTTTTGTATGTGGTGTATTTGTATTGTTAGATAAATTTAGACATTATGGATTAGAACTCTTATAATCACATTTAAAAAAAACTGTTACATTTTGGCTGCCCTCGTACATTTTGTTATTTAACAAAAAATATATGAATTTAGGTTTTAATTAGTTGGACCCAATGGTGAGGTGAGGTTCACATATAACTATGGTAGTATAAAAATTAGGAGTATTAAAAATTATCACATAAGTTTTTTAGGCCAAGTTTGACAAGTTGTCAAAAAGTCAAAAAGTTAAAAAGTTACTCAAAAAGTTAAAAAGTTATCACTATTCACCAAAACTCAAAAATTACGGCTGCACAACTCTCAATCCTAATTTTCTCCTACACACTAATTTATACAATTTTTTAATACACATTTTTCCATAAAAAGTAAAAAAGTTAATCCAAATATTCATATTTTTTTTCTCAATTTTTTAGTCAAAAAGACAAAAAGTACACTTATTTAGGACACCCCAAACAACTCTTTAGTATTTTTTGAGTGTTGGAACAAAAGGGACGGAGAGGGAGTGACTAATACGTAATGATTCTACTAGGCGTGATCATAGACCCACTAAAAAGGCAAACATAAAAAATTTAGACGAACCTTTAAATACAAGAACATAATGACAAAAATTTGATAGTTCAAAATTAATGAACATGAAACACAAATACAGCACAATATCTATCGGTAAATTTTGGACCCATGATCTCGTGTCCACACATAGAGAGTAAGCCCTAAGCCACTACTGCGGTTGGATGCTTGGGGTAGGTCCAAAATTTCTGATTATCAAATATAAAAGTAAAAAAAAAGAAATTCTTTTATGTTGTGAAAATGAAGACATAACTCTCGATTGTTGAATTCCCCCATTGTGTTTGTTATGAATTACACCAATCCTATTGAATTTTGAAGAATCAATTGCCAGGAAGATGGGAAAAGATAAAAATGCAAAAACATCGCCCACCGTGGGGCTCGAACCCACGACCACAAGGTTAAGAGCCTTGCGCTCTACCAACTGAGCTAGACGGGCTTGTTGCTGTATGTCCACATATTCAAAATTTTATCTGTTATTAATTTCTCTGTGGTCAATTGAATAATCAAATTTGAAGTTATTGGATAATCCAACTTCAATTCCATGTTTACGAAATGATCAGGTCACCTAAACATGGAATTGACGTTTTAAGGAAGCTCTAGTGCACAAATTCAACTTCATAATCCTATCATCTCCAACTCATAGGAAATTCGAGATAACCTCAAGGATGCCATCAAGAGTCACAAACCAACCATAAAATCTTGCTCAATAAGTGGAACACACTAGCCATACGCTCTCAAGTTGGGCAATCATTCATTCTTAAAACGTTTGTTCTTAAGATCAAAGAGTTGGGCAGAAAAAATAGAGAAAGCTCTCCGTTCCTGATTCTTCTGTAGTTGGATCCTCCAAAATCATAAAAACAGGCTATTCAGTTACTTCTGTGTTTATCGCTTGAAATGTATAGTGGCTTAGCGGTTCAAATTCATTTACAACCATAGACAATATTAATTTTAAACATATTTGAAAAAAATGCAGAGAATGCCCACATTAAGAGGGTTTCTTTTTTGGTTAACGAGTAAACTTTCCAAGCTTGTCCTTTGCCAATTTCGGAATCAACGACCTAATGTCAATTTAATCGGAGTAGGACGAGAGACAAACCTCGGGTATGTGTATTGACTTCACAACACACACCATTAAGTCAGAGAATAAACCTGCTAGGATTCGACCCCCCACCCAAGCTCTGGATACAATTTGTTCAGTAGTTAGAGGACCATCTTAAGACTACTGCATCAAAACCCCTTAGAGTTGGCCCTAGAGAGTGTAGGACCTGGGACTTAAGGACTTATACCCCCAAACCTTATTAAAGTGCCACAATCCCTTGTGTAAATCAAAGTATAAAACATGCAGCAGATAAAATGTTTAGATCATACCTTTTTGATCATAGAACCTCGTGGATAAATCACGTGCTTCCAGAGTCTGATAAACCAACCCAGCAGTGAAGTGATATTACAGAATGAATATCACCCACACAAATCACAGTGCAAATGACTTGATCGTTGTTCTTTTGGGAGAGAGTCAGTATATGGGTAAAACTCAGATCATACGTTGTTTATCTCTTAATCACCCATAACCCATATACCAGATATATAATATGTTTATTGTTATCTATCCATATCAGTGATGGAGATAATATCTGTATCCTGAGTGGTTATCCTAAATAGGTTTGAATTCAATTTCAAAACCTATTTGGATAAGATTCAAATTTAAATTCAAATGGTCATGCCACATGGGCGCCCATTACTAACATCTCCCACTCGCAGGGTCCATCCAACTTGGTCCTAGTTCAATGATGTTAATCTGAACTAGTTCAGAAGAGGTGACGCTTGGCTCTAGGATGAATCCTACTTTGATTGTTCATTTGACTTCTGAGTTAATGGCAGAGGCTAGGCAAGCAAGGACATCTGTGTGCTTGTTCTGATCCCAGGTTATTTGATTTAATTCGTGGTGGTCAAATTTCGTGAGCAAGGAATTCGTCGTTTTCATGTAGGCTACCATGCGGTCATTTTTAGTTGCATAATCCCCTTTCAACTAGTTGATGACTAGTTTTGAGTCACAGAAAACAAGGAATCGCTATGCATCGAAGTGAAGTGCGTTCCGATGGCCGGTTAGCAATTCTTCGTTTTCGACCTCATTATTTGATGCATCAAAGCCCAGTTTAACCGCCTTCTCAATTATTGCTCCTTCGGCGATCATGATTACTACGCTTGCCCCACTGCCAGCCACGTTGGCTAGATGACCTGTCACAGTACAACTACCAAATGTCTCCAACATATATTCTTTAGGTTGCACTTGCTTGGACTTGAAGTTGGCAAGGCATCTCGTGAATTCGGCTAAAAAGTCAGCAAGCACTTGCCCCTTGATGGTAGCTCTAGGCAAAAATTGGATATCATACTGGCTGAGTTTCAAAGCCCATTTCGAAATGTGCCTTGATGCTTCCGCGCTACAGAGCACCGACCGGAGGGGATAGTCCGTTAGTACACCTATGGTATGCCCCTGAAAGTAATGCATCAGTTTTCTTGTAGCCATAACGAGAGCAAGGATGAGCTTTTCTAGTGGTAGATAACGTGTTTTGGCGTTAGTCATTGCTTTGCTTACATAGTAAACTGGTCATTGCTCCTCGAGTTCCTCCCTTAAAAGTTCGGCGCTGACCACCCAGTCAGATACCACCAGATACAAAATGAGTGGGTCGCCTGCCGAGGGGGTTGCCAAGAGTGGTACTGATCGGAGATACGTTTTCAAGCCGTCCAAAGCGGCCTGACACTTGGGAGTCCATTCAAAAGCTTTGCCTTGCCGAAGTGTGTGAAAGAATTGTCGGCAGCGCTCTGTGGAACGGGTGGCGCGGACGGCGTGCGCGTGGACAGCGCCGCTGACGTGCGCGTGATGGCGCGTGCAGGCGCGTCTGCAGGGGCGTCTGGCGCGTGTGGGCGCGTGGCAGCGCGTGGCTGCGGCTCACGGCGTCAGGTGGCGCGTGGTCTGCACGCGCCGCCTTCCAGGGTGTTTTCTGGTCCGATTTTTGTACTGCCGGACTCCTTTTTTCAAAATAAAAATATTTATGGCATTAAAAATGACATTTAAACAACATAAAATTGAGGTATATCACTCTCTCAATCTAATGGAGTTAAAATGCAAAAAAAACCGTTCACTTCATCTTCCTCCTCCATTAATATTCATGCATATACATGCATATATATATTTATATAAAAAATATACACATATTTTAATGCATAAGTACGAAAATACCCATACATGGCTCTGATACCAATGTAAATCAAAGTATAAAACATGCAGCAGATAAAATGTTTAAATCATACCTTTTTTATTATAGAACCTCGTGGATAAATCACGTGTTTCCAGAGTCTGATAAACCAACCCAGCAGTGAAGTGATATTACAGAATGAATATCACCCACACAAATCACAGTGCAAATGACTTGATCGTTGTTCTTTTGGGAGAGAGTTAGTATATAGGTAAAACTCAGATCATACGTTGTTTCTCTCTTAATCACCCATAACCCATATACCAGGTATATAATATGTTTATTGTTATCTATCCATATCAGTATATAATATGTTTATTGTTATCTATCCATATCAGTGATGGAGATAATATCTGTATTCTGAGTGGTTATCCTAAATAGGTTTGAATTCAATTTCAAAACCTATTTGGATAAGATTCAAATTTAAATTCAAATGGTCATGCCACATGGGCGCCCGTTACTAACACCTTGGGTTAAAAAGAAATCACATTGAGAGGGTTTCAATTATAAAACAATCTTTATTTTGAATCCTTAGCAGATCTATGATTACAAGCCGAATGCGAGGGTTTCAGTTATAAAACAATCATTATTTTGACTCCTTAGCAGGTCTTCTGACATCAAACTGGTTGTAGCAAAATGCTCTGCATTCGATGCAACTCATCATTACGCATAGTAACCAACATCTTCAGTCACCAAATCAAGTATAAATTCCAAGAAAAAAAGAAGAAGAGAAGAATGAACATTCCAATTTTCTCAGGAAAATGTATGCCACACCTAAAAATATCTCTCCGTCAAAATATGCTGTTAACATTAAAAAAAGTGAAACTGATAATAGCTCAAAAACCACAGCAAGGATTCATCACTGACATTTTTAACTCAAGCTACAGAAATAGTTTCTAAATCTAGACATTGAATTTTTAAAATCCTGACTTCAAACTACACACGAGCACAATTTCAAAGCACCCCCAGTTAATCCCCCACCACCTGAACTGCTAAAGATTTCTTAATTACCAGACTCGCGTAGAAAGAACAACGAATGAGTCAACTTGACCACGAGGTTCCAAGAGTAATCACTAGTGAGAAGCATACCAGAACAAGCAAAACGGTCATGAAGTTCCACGGCTAGTCTGACTTAAGATCTACAGTAGACATGTTTTGTGAGCCTCCATTTTGTAGCCCACTCGTTTTGGCTCCCTCTTTCAACTACATTACATCAACAAAGAACGGTTGGAATAAACTAAAAGCAAACAATGCATGATAGCAAGATTAGTAGATCAATGAGACACAAAGTTAAAGTGTAAAATGCTAGCCATAATTCACATGAGCCATTCATACCAACCAAAGAGTGTGTTCGACGGAGTAGTTAAAGACCATAGTAATTTGAACCAAAGAGAACAAAAATCTCATCATCAAATCAGCCCGAATCACAAAAAGTGGAAACCAGTTGTGGTGATCACTTCCTGAAGTTTATTGCTGTCCCAGATAAAATGGTAATGGACATAAATCAACCTGTTATAGCAAATTTAGGGTCTGTTTGGCTATCTCCAAATAAGCTGCTTTTTGGCTAAGAAAACCAAAAGTAAATAAGCTGTTTGGTTCAGCTAAATAAGTAACTTCCCACAGTTTTTTTTTTTTTTTTTGGAAAGCTCAACAAAATTGTGCAAAGACGATTTTACCCTCAACAATTTGTGAAATTCCACAACACCATAAGGGTAACTTGGCAAATTCACATCAAAAAGCAAAACTTTGAAAAGAACTTCAAAACTTTTTGCATAACAAACGCATCAGCGTTTTTAGATTCTAAAAAAGCAAAAATCAACTAAAAAAGCAGTAGTCGAACTCCACCTCAATCAACATCTCACTGAGATAAAATGTTGGATGGAGCACCAACACTTTCTAAGGAAAGATGTGGAGGGAAACTTAAACAAGTTGCCAAGCAAAACTCTAACACAAATAAAAAGACAAAAGACTGCAGTGTTTACCTGCTTGAGGAGCCTCTTTTGATACCGGTAGCCCTAATGACATAAATCAAATAATAACATTATTATGATACAATATAATCAGTTAGGTCAAACCAAAAAACTTCAAATAATAATTAAAACTAATTGTATAACGACCTTATCAGTTTCATAGATGTAATCACAGTAGGTGAACACGGATGCAAAGTTGCTCTGGCTTTGTCCTCCAACATAATGATGGTAATCATGGTATTCTGCACCACCATAAAATGGAATATATTTTATGGGATTCCAAGGGAGGTCATACCTGCGGGTTTACCACAAACAAGTTACTTGATGCTCGAAGCACCTCAATAGTTAAACTGTTTTGTGTATGCTGTAAAATATATTCAAGAAAGCCGGAATGCTTCGGAAGTTTGTGGAGCATCATGAAAAGTTTCCATAAAACATGGTGCTTTAAGCTTAGTTAAGTCAGTAACGATCCAATGAAACAATACAGCTTGACAGAGGATAAATATAAACAAAAACAAGAGGATAACTAGAAACAATAACAAAATTGAAAATGAAACGTAAACTGAGCACAGCTAACCCTACCACTAGAAGTATAAGACACCAAACAACCTCCCAAATGAGAGAATCTGCCTATAAAGAGGTATGAAAATTCCGCTTCCAATATTATGCCAAAACTCCCACAGTTCATAACACCCAAGCCACATTTATAGGCTCTTCCAAAAAAAAAAACAAATCAAAGTATGAAATATGAAATTTAAAATAAAATCATGATTTTGAAAATAAAGAAATTCATAAAACCCTAAAATCTCGGTGCCTCCATCATGATCTCTATCACTAATGCTTGTTTCTACTCACTCCACCTTTTAGTTTTCCTGTGCTCTACTCCCACTAGTCAAAAGTAAAAACCACATCGCTTGCTGACAAGATATCATCAATTAATTACAGAATAAAATATTATTAATTCTGTGTGAATCACCCATGACCCACCAGCTGTTATCACAGTAGCTATTGCTAATCCAACCCAATTCTCAATTCTGCCAGGATTCAAGGATTAAACAGACGTATATTTCTTTTGTCTATGAAAATTTTCGTAAGTCCAACTTAATGAAAAATTGCCAGAGAAGAGAGTGCAGAAGTGTAAGATAAATTGATAGAGAGATGTAAAAATAAATTGATAGTATTATTGATTGTTTGTATCTTGATATACTGTCTATTACAAATGGTTCCTTATATAGATGTAGGTGTAGTGGATGGTGGTAGTGGTGTAGTGGGTTAGGTTTAGTGGAGTAGGTTTAAGTGGGTGAAGTAGGTGGAGAGTAGGTGGATTTTAACAAGAAGAAATATAGTAGATTTTTTTAATTATTATTATATTTTTTGCAAAGTAGGGGGAATAGAGTAGACATACAAAAGAAGAGATTAGCTTGTAATTACAAAAGAAGCAATGTGTGAGATGATCTTACAAGGTAATCTCTTCACATGAGAATTGTAGTAACAATTGTCATTGTTCCATACAACCTAATTTTAATGATACTCCTCACCAACTAGGACTAAAATTTCGTATCTAACATTGCTCAATAATGGCAAGGTAATGCCAATGCTGACCAGAAAAATATTAACTGTAGAAAAGAGACCTACATAAGAAGTCAATAAATTTATCTATAACTTATCAATCAAAAGAGAGTACTTTATGGGAAGTGAAAATTCCGTGAGGCACATAAAGCCCTTCACAAATAATGAATCACTCATGCAACTAGAGCGAAAGCACGCAATAAACTGGGTGTAGATGCACAATATCCCAAATATATAATTTACATGAATCTTGCTCAATTGGTAATGTACATGACATGTTTGAATTTTCGGAACCAGCACATGTGAATTCAAATACCCTTCACTCGCTTACCTTGTGTGCACATATCTATACAAATAAAACTCAATCTAAGAACCCCCAAAAAAGTACATCGATAAACCAAGGAAAACAACAGGAGGGCACCCATATGAGCAATATTTCCATGGGCAAAAAGTGAGGCAATATTCAAGATCCTTCTACTTTCCAAACACTTCAAAAAGACAAACTAAAGAAACATTGACTATACAGACACTTGATCATAATTAAGACATTTTCACTGTTAAAAACATCATTGGGTCAAATTAGCTAAAGAATAAAATGACATCTTAATCAAAACAAATCTAGCAAACGAGGCTGAAAGTGGAGCAACGCATGCTTACCCACTGTGAGTCTCAATGGCCTCAATCTGCCTCAAAACAATCCACAACCAGAAGGTGATCATGTGTCCCGGGACAATGGCGGGCCCAAGAAACGATGGAATCCCGAGGATCAAAACCTCTGCCCAGTGAGCATACGGCGCTGCAAACCCAATCGGCGCAGTATACTCGTGGTGAACCCTGTGAATCTTCTCATACCCCCATTTACAATGAAGAAATCTATGCATCCAGTAATTGGTATAGTCCTCAATTACAAAGTAAATCACCAATTGAGCCACAATTTCTGCTAATGAAGGCAACGGCAAGCTCGTCCTAATCCCAATCATCTACAACAACAAAATGAAAATCAAAGTGAGATCAATTTATCAAATACAAATTGAAATTGATGTATATGAGGAAATGGGTATGTGAATATTTTGATGATCAAACCAAAGTGTTATCAATTTATCAAAAACAAATTGAAATTGATGAATACGAGGAAATGGTTATGTGAATACTTCGATCAATTTATCAAATACGTGATGCATATGAGGAAATGGGTATGTGAATACTTGGATCAAATTATCAAATACAAATAGGAATTGATGTATATGAGGAAATGGGTATGTGAATACTTGGATCAAATTATCAAATACGAATTGAAATTGAGGGTATATGAAGAAATGGGTATGAGAATTACTTTGATGGAAGGGAAGGAGAGAAGTTGGAGAGGGCCAACGACGAGGAAGAACATGCGCATTACGTCGAAGTAGCAACGGAGTGTTTGGGAGAAAGAGAGGTTGACTTTGGGTTGGATTTTGAATTTGTGGGTTTTCTTGTGGAAGAAGAGCTCGAGGAGAATGTAGGAGAGAGGGAAGAGGGTGAAGACGAGGAAGAGGAAGAGAATGTTGTGGCAGTAGAGAAAGTAGTCGGATTTGGTGGCGGAGTAATTGAACCAGAGTGTTTCTGCGGCGGTGAGGGGGCGGCCGATGGCGGCGGATGCATCTCCGATGGTTTTGTACGGCAACATTGGTGGTGGTGACGGCGGAGATGGGTGGTGGAGTGGTGGTGGAAGGAACAAAACAAGGGTCGCTCGCACTAATGTGTAGTGTAGATGGTGTCAAGTGTTGGACGTGAGTTTTTGTCAGCTTGTTTGTTAAAAAAATATGCGGGAATTTTTTAAAACAAACACTATTTATGATGTTTTTGTCTTTCTTGAACAACATTTATGATGTTTTTGTCAGGTTGGGATTTTTGGTACGGAAAATCTTATATATCTTAAATTTTTTAATTAAATATATGATTAAATGTCATTTTTAATTATTTATTTAATAAATAATTTAATATTTTTAACATTAACCTTTAAATAACGTACATTCATCCCTTAAAAATTATTCATTCCCCTAGAGATAAATTTTAAATGTGCCTCAACTTAAATATTATTGATTGAGTAATAGATTCCACTGCTCGTTATTTTTTTTTTTTTTATTTTTTTTTTTTTTTTTTTTTTTTTAAAGACAATTGGACACTAGTACAAATATGATGGTGTGGAGCAATGCTCTTGGGGTGATTTTCTCCTCCATACTCATATTTTTTGTAAGTCAAACCCACATCAATAATTTGAATCATCTATCTTATAATTGAGATCGCTCATATAAAAAATAAATTTTACCAGACATTTATAAATACATAAACAAATCACATTTTATTTTATAAAATAAACAGTAAAATATGATTATAAATTTAAATAATCCGTTTTATGGAATAAAATGCAATTTGTTATTGTTTTTATAGTTGTTCAATAAAATTAATTTTTTTTATATGAATAATTTTTACTGCGAGGCCTGTGAAGTAGACGGTTTGGATTATTTATGATTGGGTTAGAGCCCACAAGAGGATTATGGGCGGATATGGAGTGATGAAATATGGAGTGAAACTTATTCCGCAAAGAAAACACAAAAATTTTGATGAAATATTATTTTTTTTTAAATATTTTTTTTTAAAATTTCTTATTTAATTCTAATGCTTAATGTAGAATTTTAATTTTGTATGATTTTGTATCCTTTGAGAAATACCACCACCACACTACATATACTAGCACACCACTATAAGTACGAAAAATAAATGATTTTCTTTCCAATTTTTAGCTCTTTACCTATCAATTGTATGATTAAATTCAATAATTAAATTTTAATAAATACCAAAAAAAATTCATTAAAACAAATCAATATTCAATTTTAATACTTAATTTTTAATTTTCAATTTAGAAAATATACGGACAAATAATTGATTGTTTTTTACCATTTGATTAAATTATACTACTACGTCATTTATTTTATTGCTTGGTACATTTAACTCAAATCAATTTTCATAATATGTCATACATGCTTTTTTAACCTTTAAAAAGTGCAATAAATTGGTTTAGGAGGGTTTTATTCATTTTTTTTTTTATTTATGAAACCTAGACAACCTGAATCTAATTTGAATTTTTTGTAACAAAGTTGGACTCAAGCTAAAAATTAGGTTCATGTTGGACTTAGACAAATCATTTTACACTTTAGGCTGATCTGGATCGACTCCCAATCTAATCGAATTCGCTTGAGTTTCAACTTTAAGGGGTGTTTTGAAAAGTTAATAAAAAGTTAATTTCTTGACTTTTTAAGCTTATTTTAATTTTTTGTGAATAAGTTATGTGAGAGGTGATGTAGCTTAAAATTGATAAAAAGCTGGAAGCTGACTTTTTGCCAGTTTCCCAGAAGAGCACTAACTAGTCAAAGTGCTTGAGTTACACAACCCTAAGTACATATTGGTTTAGGTTTACTAAAGGGTGCTTTGGCAATCAAATAAAAAGTCAACTTTTAACTTTTTACCCATTTTAGGTCACATCATTTCTTATATTTTTTATCTACAAAAAACAAAATAGATAAAAAAAATTTAAAAAGTCAAATTTTTACCAACTTCTCAAAACACCACTAAATATAAAGTTATTTTTATTTTGGGTTTCCTCCTTAAAAAAGTACACAATAATAAATAGTTAAAAAAAAACTTATATAGTGATGATTTTGTATCACTGCCCAATTTAAAAACTTTAGATTGAGTTATTATTTAAATTTAATTATTAAGGAAATAGTTAAGCTGTATAGATTTAAGTAAGAATTTAAAAAGCAAAAAAAAAAAAAAAGGTAAAAACAATATAAATGAAATACAATATAAGAAGTTAATTTTTTTTTTTTTTTTTCTAAATCTCTATCTAAATTTATGATCCGAATATAGAGTTAAAAGAAAATTACATATCTTTGATTAGGTAAGCCATTATACAAAATGATAAATGAAAAAAATGTGGTAATACAACCTATATACAGTGGTGGACAAAATAACATGGTCTTTGGATCACACTCCATCACTTCAAAAGAAGCTTAGAAAGTTTTTTTTTAAGTTGAATGTTTTGCACTTTCACTAGTGGGAACCTTTAGTGCATATCCAATTACAAAATGGGTGGAAAACTATTACATCAGCCTTGTTGAACATGCAAGAAGAGTTTTAAACAACTTTTTGGATCTTCCCTACTTGTATGTAGTCTAGTGTAGGCACCTTTAAATTTATTAAAACAGAGTGGTTCAAAATTATAAGGTTATCTTTACATTAAAGAAATCAATAATAGGAGAATAGTGATAAATTTATTATGTCAATATTATCTCAGCGTTTAGTTTAGTTAGAAATTTTTATGTAAAACATGATAAAATTTTAAAAATTTAACAGTCTCATTTTTAGAGGAATATATAAGATTACCTTTGAGAAAATATAAAAATCCAAATTCTTAATTATTGTAGTAGTAAGTAGGATGATTCCATAATAAAATAATACTTTTCATCTCTTTTAAGTCACGACTTTTATAAATATAATATAAAATGTGAGTAGAAGAAAGCAAAAAAAGGGGGAAAAATCATTTGCCGTCGCAAAAAAAAAATTTCCCGTCGCAAAAACAATGGCGACGGCAAGTGCCGTCGCTAAAGGTCTTTTGCAACCCCCCCTATTGCGACCCCCCTTTGCCGTCGCAAAAAAAAATTTACCGTCGCAAATAGCTTTTGAGACGGCGTTTTGATTATTTGCGACGGCGTTTTGCCATCGCAAAAAACAGTTTTTTTGTAGTGTATTATCTCAGCGTTTAGTTTAGTTAGAAATTTTTATGTAAAACATGATAAAATTTTAAAAATTTAACAGTCTCATTTTTAGAGGAATATATAAGATTACCTTTGAGAAAATATAAAAATCCAAATTCTTAATTATTGTAGTAGTAAGTAGGATGATTCCATAATAAAATAATACTTTTCATCTCTTTTAAGTCACGACTTTTATAAATATAATATAAAATGTGAGTAGAAGAAAGCAAAAAAAGGGGGAAAAATCACCATGACTCTCTATCTAGAGTAACAGAAAGGAAAAAGATTGCAAGTTGATTATGCAGTTTTTTTTTGCACCACTCAAGCGAAGATTTATCACTTACAAGAGGCACAAAGAGTTTGGAGTGATGTCGATGAGGTGGTGGTCTACTTTGTTTTTTAAGTCAATGATTTTGTAAGAGAGAGAGAGCTTTGAACCGAACAATTGTTACATTAGATTTAAGGACAACATGAGAAAATAAGAAGGATAATCAACATTTTTTTTTTTGTTACAGGAAAATCTTCCCTACTCTCCCGCAGGTTCAAGGCAGTGTCCCTTTGTAGAGATCACTAAGGTGTCCTATTAGCCGTTTCGAGCGAGGAGACTATAACCTGGGAACTTGCCCCGACCTCCCAAGACAAGTTCCGCTTAAGTCAAGACTCGCACAGCGGAGGAGCATTGAATCCACACCAAGTACTGGTTAGACAACTTAAGGTCCAACCTCCTAACCAACTGTGCTACGCCCAAGAAATTAGCCCAAGGGAGATTTGAACTCCTAACTAGAGGGCTTAATCCCTATGTTTTTACCACAAGGCCACCCATCCTGGGTTAGATAATCAACATTTTATTTATGAAAAAGTTTAGAAAGAAAATTATAAACATATGTGCAGTATGTGTCTGGAACTTTTTTGTGGTCCTATACAACCCTTTAGTTAATGGATTTTCAAGTGAGAATGGATTGATGACATCACTACTAAAAAAAAGTACTTTTTGCGACCGTTACAAGCTGTCGCAAATAATAAAAAAACAGTCGCAAAAGAGTTTTTGTGACGGCCTATGCGACGGCAAATGGGGGTCGCGAATGTGGGGGTGGCAAATACTTTTTGCGACCGCAAAATAACAGTCGCAAACTATTTACGACCGCCTAACCTACTTATAGCAACTGATATTTTGCCATCGCAAAAAAGTTTTAAAAATGGCTACAATGCATTAGCAACCATCTTCTTACTATCGCAAAAAGTCATTTCCGGACACATGACATGCATACTTCAGTGAGTAATCACTCAACTTTCGGAGACAAACTCAGATATATAATCTTTAAAATTGCATCAGACAAATAGTTTCACTCAAATAAATAAATAGCCAGAGAAAAAAAATGAGCAAATGAAGAATCCACCTAAATCATAAATCGACATGGCTATAATTTTTCACCAACTTGTGAAGAATTCTAGATATACAAATCCAAAAGGTCTCTGGAATTTTTCGGCTAAAATGTATCAATAAGGCTGAAATGATGTCAAATGTGAATTTGTGAGCCTCGGGTTTCACTATCATGCGGATTAGCATAGCAGTCTACACCTCCGGGGCCAACTTCACTGCATGCCGGAAAGATTTAAGCCCATTAACCACTCTCATCAGCATTGCATGTCCCTGCAAAACAACATTAATTCTCATAGTTGATCTCATGACAATATTACCAACTGAAATATGTTCAGTTCTGATTTTGTTTTTGTTTTTTCATTTTCATGTTTTCAAAAACAAGATAATAAAAAGTTCGAAAACACCTAACATTTTCATATAACACTTTAATTTTTGCATGAAAATAGTTTTTCGAAAACAACCTTTTTGGGTTTCCTAATTCATGTTTTGGCTTTCCTACTTCTTTTAAACCACATCAAAATGATGTTCTATTATCTATAAGTTGTAGAGTTTAACTAAAACATGCACCAGCACATGAGGGGGGAGAGAGAGAGAGATGGAGGAATTGAAACGAACC